GTAATAAAGTGTTGACTAGCTCATCTAATTCACTAAACACTGTACTGAAAGTGAAAAACAAAGGTTGTGTGAGTTCTCGGAGTGAGGGTTCTACTGAATATGTATCACTTTTTCATCATCGTAAAGTCAAAAAATCATAAGTCAAACCATTGTAAATTGGGGACTGTCTGTACAGAAAACACAAAACCCCTCCTAGAACTAATGAAGGAGTTTACCAAGGTCACAGACACAAGGTCAACATACAAAACAAAAAGAAACCACTCAACAAGAGACATCACAAAGAAAACACTCAACAAAAGAAAATTAGGAAAGAAAAACAATTTTTTTTTCCTTTTTGTCTTTTTTACTGACCGGTAACAGGATCGCAACCCTCTGTGTCGTGCCTGTACCGGGGACCGGCAATGGGATCGCAACCCTCAGTGTTGCACCCGCACCGCGCTCAGCCAGTGAGCGGGAACTGGTCTCCACATGGGATCCGAACCCTCGGCGGGAGTGCTGCCGCACTCCCAAGCGGCGCACTCTCCAGTGTGCCACCAGGCTGGCCCCCCAAAATTTTTTTTATAAAGTGCTATTAACAATAACTCCAAAAAAGAAAATACTTGGGTATAAATCTAACAAAATATGTGCAGGTTCCTGTATGCTGAAACTATAAAATGCACATGAAAGAATCAAAGAAGGCCTAAATAAATGGGCAGAAATACTGTGTTTATGGAACGAGAGCTGAATGTACTGTAATTAAGATGTCAGTTCTCCCAAGTTCTCCTGGTCTCTTACCTTTGATCCTGGCCAATCCAGCACCTTCCCAGAGGGGCTGGCAAGGCCTGGTTCCATCAGGTGGCCATGGAGCAGAAGCTCAGCAACAGAGGTTTTGGTTTGTAATGACAGTAGGACGTGCTCTTTGAGGGAAAAAAATCAAATAGTAGGTAAACGTATAAAGTTAAAAATTCCAAGTTCTTTCTGAAAACTTCCCTCATCTGATACTCACCAGGGGAACCACTGCTAGCAAGCAGCTCGGCATGCATAACAAGGCCTAAAGGCAGGAACCCTGGAATCCTACGGAATTCAAGTCCCAGCTCCATCACGTATTGGCTGTGCGACTTTGCCAACTTTCTCCCCCTCTCTGGGCCTTAGTTTTCTCACGCGTAAAATGAGGATTAAGTTTGCTATTGCACATTAAGTCCTCACCACGTAAAAGCGCCAATAGAAGTTAGCTGTATTCATAAGGCTTATACTATATTCAAGAAGTTTGTTATTTTTACTACTGTGAAAATAAGCAAAGACTAGCCACATGAGGACAGGCAAAGGCTGTTCATTCAGAATTTATCAGAGCAAGGGGGTCAGCCGCGGTCACTTGCTTGGCAGATGCAAAGGCAGGTGGAGGCGTGAGGGAGCTTTGTGGTCGGAAAAGGGGAAGGGTCAGGTGCACCCGAGGGAGGCCGAGCTGTGGGTGGGCTCGTTAGTCACACGTCCTGTGTGACTGGTTAGGGGAGCAGATGTGGCCTTCTCCCGTTGGTCCTAAATCGGAAGCGGGACAAAACAGGGAAGCCTGCTGTTGGGGCCCATTGCTGCAGAGGCGGGGGTTCAGCTTCTGCGCTGGTTGCTGCAGGTGGTGCGAGATCCAAATCCACGTGTGGTCCGGCCTTTGTCCGTCTGTACATTCGCCCTCCCTGTCCACGCTGCCTGGGTTTCCTGGTGCTCTGCTCCTTTCTATCCCCGTACGTGGTGCCGGAGCGCCCCGGGGCTGTCCCCA